GATACAGTACAAGTTACTGACACAGAATAACAGTGTGACACAAGATAAGTTGCTATGACACAGTATAACATGCTGACACAAGAAAAGTCGCTTTGATACAGTACAAGTTACTGACACAGAATAACAGTGTGACACAAGAAAAGTCGCTTTGATACAGTACAAGTTACTGACACAGAATAACAGTGTGACACAAGATAAGTTGCTCTGACACAGTATGACATAATGTAAGTTACTCTGATACAGTATGACATAATGTAAGTTACTATGACATAGTATGACATAATGTAAGTTACTATGACATAGTATGACACAAGATAAGTTACTCTGAAAAAGTATGACACAAGATAAGATACTCTGAAAAAGTATGACACAAGATAAGTTGCTCTAACACATATACACAACGTAAGTTACTCTGACACAGCATGATACAAGATAAGTTGCTTTGTGACAGTATTACAGTATGCCACAAGATAAGCTACTTTGACAAAGGACAGAAGATAAGTTACTCTAACACAGGAAAGACAACACAATGTCATAGAATACAGTGGTTTTTCATTGAACAACAGTGGAGTACAGAATAAACTGGTCAAACATAAGACAACGATGCTATATAGGATAAACAGGTCAAACATGGGACAACGATGCTACGTAGGACAAACTGGTCAAACATAAGAGAACGATGCTATGTAGGACAAACTGGTCAAACATAAGACAACGATGCTATACAAGATAAATTCTAAAACGTAAAACAACGATGTTATACAGGATAAACTGGTCAAACATAAGACAACGTGTTATACAGGTTGGGTCTTCCCGCAATAGAACAACAGAGTGATACAGGTTGGCAGTGTGTAACCTGCTCCGAAAATGGCTAAGAAAGCTGAGTACAAGAGAATGTATGAGAATACACACAGCTAAGAAAGCTGAGTACAAGAGAATGTATGAGAATACACACAGCTAAGAAAGCTGAGTACAAGAGAATGTATGAGAATACACACAGCTAAGAAAGCTGAGTACAAGAGAATGTATGAGAATACACACAGCTAAGAAAGCTGAGTACAAGAGAATGTATGAGAATACACACAGCTAAGAAAGCTGAGTACAAGAGAATGTATGAGAATACACACAGCTAAGAAAGCTGAGTACAAGAGAATGTATGAGAATACACACAGCTAAGAAAGCTGAGTACAAGAGAATGTATGAGAATACACACAGCTAAGAAAGCTGAGTACAAGAGAATGTATGAGAATACACACAGCTAAGAAAGCTGAGTACAAGAGATTGTACAAGTAAGTAAAAGAAAAGGGATTAGGAAGAAAGAATTATGAGAGAAACTGATATTATAAAAAGAACATGGAATAACATATAGGGCCGATAACAAAACGCAGAACTAGGAAGTTAGAAAGGAATTATTAACACAGATGGTTGAGTATATTATATTAAAACTATTTTTGGGTCCCATTACGTCGTTACAATCCATGTTATCGTTGAATTCCGTGCATCTTGACAATAGCCCGGCATTGTAGTTTCCAATGCAAAAGGCTTCATCTTTAGGCTGTCCAAGAAACACCACTCCACTCTTTCGGCTTTCCATAGTCTATCTGGTGTATAAGACCGACGATTTTCTAGCGCCCGTTTCAGCAGTCTGATTACACAGAAATCTATAGGCGCTGGGTCCAGCGACTACACCGGTATGTCTCGGTATGAAGTAGCATTAATACCTTTTTTCATACTCTAGCTGCTAAGGTTAAACAGATATGTTGGGATACTTGACTTCTTGATTATGTAGCGAACTGTTGCCTTGGGTACATGGGTGGTTTTTGTTGGTTTTTTTGCCACCGAACTTTGTTCTTGCCTTTTTTTTTTTGTTGTTGTTCGTAAATTCTCACCTATTACAAGACGCTACACTTTTCTTACCACAGCTGGGGTACGACTTATTACAGTTCTCTTTCTGAATGGTCCGGGTACCCCAAGTTGACCCACATCCATTTGTTGTCTAGTGTCGGAAAGAGCTACTACACGCATTCCCTCAAAGCGTCCAAGTTTCGTTGGCATCAAACTAACTAAACAATATCAAAACGTCCTTGTGATACATGCGTTTTACCTCGACTTTATATCAGCTGTGATTGTCATATGTCATTAGCTTACTGAAATTCGTTTTAATATAACGCACTCAACCCTGTAACGTAAGGACAGTAGAAAACCTAAGAACAACTAGTGAAAGGAGAAATAAACGGTGTAGTTCCGATAACGAAATGCAGAACAACTAATGAAAGGAGAGAGAAATAAGTTAGGGTCAATGAAACGTGGAACAAATATAACGGAGAAAGGAATACTGTACAGACGATGATGCAACAACTAGTGAAAAGATGAACGACTAAAGAAGGAACGATGGCAAAATGGGGGAAAGGTAATGAAAAAAGAAAGTAATGATGGAAGTTCGAGAGCGAAAAGCAGCCCAAAAATACAGTTGAAGCAAAAATGAATAATGTAAGAACGATAGAGAAACGTGGAACAACCAATGAACGGAGAAATAAATAATGTAAGAATAGAGAAACTAGTGAAATGATGTGCTGCAACCTACCTGTTCATTTATAATAATATCACTGTATCTACCTGTTCATTTATAATAATATCACTGTACCTACCTGTTCATTTATAATAATATAACTGTACCTACCTGTTCATTTATAATAATATAACTGTACCTACCTGTTCATTTATAATAATA